GAAGGTCCCGAAGCAACGTAGCCTAAGGCCCCGACATGTCTGAGTAGCCCAGTCAACTCTGGGGCACGTCGCCAAACTCCCCTAGCCTCCGCAGGCTCTGGGGCAGAATCCCGCGGTTACGGACGTCGCGGGACGATTAAGCTTAACGCCAAGCCCGTCATGCTTGCATATGCCCACCCGAAATCTTCACCGCGCCCTGAAATGACTCGCTGGCAGCGGCCTACGCCGTGCTGACGTTCAACGCCTCTAAGACGATGAATACGCCGTTTTAAATCACCAAAAGTGGCATGAGGTTCAAGGACTTTCTGCTTGGAAATCCATGAGATTTCGAAGACTCCTGTTCTGTCTCCGTTTAGCAATTCAAATGAGCCCGACTCGAGAGCGTGAGAGTCCCCGCCGGCACTTATAGCACAGCCACAGCTTTAATAACATCCCACACTAGAGCCAAGTCCCCGGAGCAAACCGTGCCTGGCAGCGAATAAATGAGTTCAGATGAGATCGTCCAACCGTCTCCACAGCCCACCGGTTCGATCTCAGTGAGCAACTGACTCGGCCTACGATGCTTCACCGTTCTGGGGAACGGAGAATACAGAAGGCCGCCGATCCGCAATCAGTCCGAACGCCCTGCGAGAATGATATAAAAGGCCAGGACTATTCTTGGACAAGCCATATTACAAAGATTGGCAGACACAGTCTCTTTTCCAGCACCCGGCCAACAATATTCAATATGCAGCTTTCCACTCTCCTCCTCGCTATTGCTCCCGTGGCCGTCATGGGCTGGTCTCACCCTGGGTGCAGCAAGTCCGGCAACAGCTGCTTCAACTCCGCGCTGGTTGAGTACAAGGTGAGAGCGCCACGAACTCATTTCCTACCATTACGTAGCTGACTATCATGACCAGTGCGGTACTTCCCAAGCTGATTGGCCTCCCTTTCCTCCCTGCGAATCTGTTGATGCAGTAAGTCATGTCCAGCGCCACGTATAAATGAACTCGTTGGCTAATGAGATGTTAGGCCGTCGGCTACTGGTGCTGTCCTCCTTAGGCTGGGCATGTCATGGAGAACCGGGGTTGATTCATGTACATCTTTTTTAGAAACGTACAAACACAACACAGTAGACTTTTTGACTGCATGAATCTGATCCAACGTTTTCATATTGTGTGATAATCGCCTCAGTGATGGATGTGCTGAGGCCGGGGGCTATGGCGCTATGCGAGCGAGCATGCCAAGTGTGATTCGAGCCATTGATTAAGAGACCGCTTGATTTCTCCTGTGCGAGAGCGACTGCTTTTTCTGTGTGCTCGCTATCGTAGTATATCGTCTTCGTTCTCTATTATCAGCGTCTATCGCTGTCGTTCCCCGTCGTCCTCATTATCAAAGTTACTAAGTATACATGAAAAGTAGTCGCTTTGGCACAGGAAGAATAGGCGGTCTCTTGATTAAAGGGGTAACATGATTACAAGTTTTATTTCTTGCATCAAGACTATGTCTACGTAGGGGCGCTGGACTGCTGTGAAGCAGAGCTAACGGAAATTTAAAGCTTCTTACTGGCCGTTGTCGCATTCGTGGGAGCCGCAAAGTTGCCAGGAAGGGCAGTGAACATGACGTCGGACGCCAGATCGGATACGCGGCCTAGAAGCTTCTCGAGCAGACGGTAGCCCGCACCCTGAGCGTACTCCGGAAGTTCTATCACAGCATGTTAGTCACCATGAAACACAATCCCAGGAAGGATGTCCAGAAAAGCTCACCATGTCCGGCGTTGAAAACTCTGGCAAAGTTCAGGCCTCTCTGCTCAACCCAGTCGCCGATCTTGCCCGCTGCGCTCTGCGAAGACAGGTCGCTGTACGCGGTGGGGAGGAAGAAGGTCTTGCTGGGAAACTCGTCGAAGCCCTGTTTTCCGTTCCAGGTCATGTTCTGCAGCACATAGAGCGTGCCGTTGGTAGGAACACGGTCTGCGGATCACAATGTCAACTTCTGAAAGAGTCAGTAGTGAGTGGTTGCTCTTGAGAACTTACAGTCAAGGTTGCCGCTGGCGATGATGAAGTTGTTGGTGTGCTCGATGACTCTCGTCAGGGCACCCGAAGTGAAGGGATCTTCGCTCTGGTCGCCGTTGGGCCCGAAGGGGTCCGCGTCGGTGCACTCCTGCCAGTCCTTCTGTCCCTCGGGGATGTGGATCGCCTTGCGCATCTGGGGGATGTTGAGGTAACCGTGCCAGTCCTTCTTGTCGAAGCTGAGCGGCACGCTGGCGTTGTCACCAGCCGAGGCCCAGAGCAGGGGGTCGGACGGGTTCGGGCAGCCCTGGGAGATGTGGTAGATGTTGGAGCACGGGCTGATTTCAGCTAAGCCATCGTATACAATGGAGGAAATTTGGCACTCGTTGCTCATGTTTCCGGGAGGGAAGGGGCCTGCGGGCGGGAAGGTAAAATACTTCTCGCGCATCTCTTTGTAGCCACAGGCCTCGTCCGCGGCCTCGATGCGGTCCCAGTAGTCACCGACGCCGGGGTACAAGCCCATGACGTTGTTGTACTCCTCGACGAAGGGCTTGGTGACGACGTGCTGCTGGAAGTCGTTGGGGACGCTGCGGATGTAGGGGCTGAACATCATGGCGCCGGAGAGGTTGTAGTCGGCGGACTGGTTGGACTTGATCATGGCGTCGCCGATGTATGGGATGTAGTGGCCAGCGTAGCTCTCGCCAGTGAGGTGGGTCTTGCGGCCAGTGGTGTTGAAGGTTTCCATCCAGTTGTGGTAAAAGCCGAGGAATTGCTGGGCAATCTCTTCCTCGGTGGTGGCGTCCGGGGAGCCGACGGAGAAGCCGGTGCCGGCGGGCTGGTCGACGTAGAGCATGTTGGAGAGCTGGGACCAGGAGTAGATGTTGTATACGGGGCGGTAGGCGGAGGGAAACCATGTGAAGGGGCCGTTTTCTTGGACGAGCCCAATGAAGGAACTGCAGCCTGGGCCACCGTTGAGCCTGGTATATGTTAGTCTCGATGAGTGCGATGTGTCGTGGGGAGTTCCTACCAGATGGTGACTTCGTTGGAAGCATCCTTGTTAGTGCTTGGGAAGTACCAGAAGAACAGCTCGCGCGTCTCATTCGACTTTTTGGAGATGGGCATCAGACCGGCGTAAGACTCGCCGAGATCCCAGTCGACAAAAGGAATGTCGGTGCCGTTGACAAGATACTCTGAGACATCATTAGCTTGCTCTCTGAGAAATACAGACACTCCATGAAAATCTTACTCTGAGTCTTGTCAGTCAAGTACTGATAATCACCGGTGATATCACGCTTCTGGATATGGCGACGGTTCGGGCCACGCCTTTCCTCCGCCAACGCCTTGACGGGGTTGTGGCCATCAACGCGCCAGTGGGCCAAGACGGTGCACGGTAACACCGCCAACAGAAGAGCGCGTAGAGAAAACGCGGAGGCCATGGTTATTATCTAGAGTAAAACGAATGAAAATGGCGAGTGGCGACGCTGGGGGAACCAAACGGCCATCTTGGCAGAAACTTGGCGAGAGGGCCGATAATAAATAGGTAATCGTGTTTGGCGTGATTGGTTTCCCCTGAGGCACTGCATCTTATTGCAACGCTGATTGAATGTGGCATGGATCACCACTTGATGCGACTCTAAGATGGAGAGAGAGTTAATAATTAGAGTAGCCCAGCTGCAGTGTACCCTACAATTAACTCGGCTGCACCGTCTTGGCCGGGATGCCGTTGCAATGGCGAACGATAAACATAGGTGCCGGCAACTGATGAACATGATTGATATCGCGCAATTAACCGTTAATTAGGAGGAAAAGCAAATTCTCTTAGTTTGAAACGTTCAGATATGTCGTGTTCCTTGAGGAAATAGTCTCCAATTGGCGGGGAATCTCAAAGCGACCCATCCGGCATCGAAAATCGACCCGAACTGCATTCTGAACAAGCTCCCGAGCCGACCGAACGGATGCGCACTTTTGCTTGCTTGACTATAGCTTAGCAGCATTAATATAACCTTAACCCCTATACGGGCCGCAATAAAACCTTGTTACCCGCAGAGCAAAACAGCTCACAATGTGTGGGAAAGAACGGTCTTGGCTCGTTCATTCAGCAAGTCGACCAATGCACCTAAAATAAGCTCGATTTTCATGGGACGAACTTGGGCATGCTGTTTGCCAAGGTAGATCGGATGCAAAGAAAGCTTGTCTTTCGCATCGCACCGAGAAGACGGCTCCGCAAGAACTCGGCTCGGCGATCAGCCCGCCATACCAGGGGTTGAGTAACTACCGTGCAACACAAAGAGTCCCGCAATGTCCGGGGAATATGCGATGAGCTTCCCAGTTCTGCGGGCTGTCAATTGACGCCATGGCCCGGATTGGAATGTGCATTGGTGGAGGAGCCGTGATAGCCGCTACCCCTGAAAACCTTCGCTGGCCGTCAGTTGGAGCTTATCTGGGCCGAATCCTCGCAACAGCGTTCAACCAAACTTACACCAACTCAGTCCTTCCATAATAAGTTGGTCTGTTGCTTCAGTTTGGCCGAGTTCATATGGAACTCAACTTCTCAAATCTTACATAGAACGAGCTTCTCGATAAGACAATTCTTCCGTGCTACTGTTTTACGGTCTAGCCGGGACCTCTATTTCAATGTCCGATTCCTGCCCGATCTTCTTATCGAGGCAATATTTCAAAGATTATTTCCAAGGAATACTCGAGTTCCAAATTCCGACTCGTTCTCGGGATCCATGCATGTCATACATTTTTCCACGAGTACACACGATCTCGCCTATGTAGTCTGCATGCTACTAATTCAACATTGAAGTGTGACTCCTGAGCCATTTATGCAGCAGACAAACATTATGCGAATCCGACTTTGATTTTATTCTTTGAAAAGAAATGTGGTTTTTGGTTGGTTATATACGTTGAGTCCTCAAATTTGCCAGATGCGCTCGCAGAACTCTTGCTTCTCAATTGCTTCTCGGTTGCTGTCGCGTCACAAGTTCCTACCGCTTCAACTGGCTTTTTCTATTCGTCATAAATGACGCACACAACCTCGCCAGCGATGTCAATGTTCGCGATGAAATCCTTGAGAAGACCGGTCTTGACATCTCTGCTGATGACCACCACACGTCCATCTGACTGAAGACCAACAGCGACCTGATCACCAGCCTTGTTGATTGAGAACTGGCGGGGGAACCTGCCACCAGCAGGGTAGAGCTGAGTGAAGTTCAGGTGGCCCGTCTCCTGGTCGATGGCGAATGTGGCCAGCGCGTCGGACACAATCTCGGTGCTGTTGGTCTTGTCGAAGTTGGGAATGCTGAAAGTGCTGACGTTGCGGGAAGAAACGACCAGGTACTGAGAGTCGGGCTGGGATTGTGGTTAGTCGCCGAAATTCGATCATTCGAAGTGCTGTAGTACTCACAGAGACGTGGATCTCAGCTGCAGCAGCTCCGACAGGGACAACGTTGTCCGGGCCGTGAGTGCCAACGACGAAGACCTCCTTGAATTCCAGAGTCTTATCCTGGTTGTAAGTGACCTCGTAAGAAGTGATGGTGTTGCCGAGCTCAGCCAACAGGAAGAAGAAGGTCTTCTTGCCGACGACGAGGAATCTGGCGTGTCTTGGGCCGCTTCCGGATGCCGCGTTGAGAGAAGTGCTAGGCGTCAATTCGTATGTCTCCTGGTTGATGTTGAAAACCCGCACCAGGTCGGCTCCCAGATCTGGAACCAACACGAACTCCCCCGTGGGGTCAAGGATGGCCTCGTGGGGATGCGGGGCATTTTGAGCGGGCTTCGGGCCTGGTTGGCTCAGCGAGTACGTCCAGGACTGCAACCTCTTGATGTCGCTCGGGTCAGCTACAGAGAAGACCTCGAAAGAGGATGCAGGGCTACATCCATTTGTCAGTTCTGAGATACATATCGCTTTCCAACATTCCCATTTCACATTTACAACCCAGGTCGACTTCTGACAGGGGTTCTAATGCTAGCGTAGCACGTGGGCGATGTACTTACTAAGATGCCAGCGCAATTCCACCACCATCCTTGCCGTAGACAACAGAGCTAACGGCACCCTTGATGGTCTCCAGTTTGCCAAGCGGCGAGAGGGTTCCGTTCTCAGACTTTGAGAAGGAGACGAGCGTGCCGTTGGGATTGGTGAGGCCTCTGTCCGCGCAGTAGAGCAGAGACTTTGACTGGTCGAGGGTGAGCCAGGAAGGATTGGCAGCGCATTCCGTCGTTGTTGAGATTGCATCCAAAGTTGCCCCGGACTCAGAGGTTTGAAGGTTGAGAGTAGTGACGGTCCCCGCGTGGGAGGCGGCGTAGAGAAGAGTCGACGAAACCGGCTTGACGGACATGACGGCCAGCAGCCAGGCAGAGGTGAGTTTGGACAACATGACTGGCAACTGGAGAAGAACCAATGAACCCGAGAAAGCTGCTTGACTCCATTCTTGAGTACTGGGAATCACGCCTATTTAAGAACTCATGGTACACATGTCGGAAATGCGACTGTACCTGCTCCGCCGAGCTCGTTTTCCGTGCGGGGTCAGGATGACCCTGGAACCCCGGCGGATTTTCCCACCTATTAATCTAACTGGCTGGGTAATTAGATCACTCTTTCCATGGAATTGGTAATTGCTGGTCGCACATGTAAAGGCAATCGCTGCAGCGCACTGCCGGTCTGCTTGTGTGCTGCTTCTTGGCAGGGGTTGCGGATAAGGTTTGAATAAGGATGGGCTTGGCAGCGTTGTGTTTAAGGGGGAACACTGGACGATTTGGGGTTTGGGTTCGTCTAAACCAATGATAAAGGTCGCGTTCCGCACTAATGGTTCATCCCATCGGTAAAGCTTCGACTTCGCCATCCATCCCACCGGTAAGTCATCAACTTCACTTCTCAACGCCTCTCCGATATAACGACTTGTCTTGGCATTTATTCCACCTTGAGGGCGGACTCCGAAACTCCATCGCCGGATTCTGTCGACTGCCAATGAACATGCCAAGACAGGTAATGAATGATGATTTGAACTGGATCGAAAATGCGTGGTCTTTCGAAGGCGGAGTGTTTGGCTGATTTGACACAAAGCCATCAAGGTACTCGTATCACGATAAGCAGCGCAAAGCTTCCGGGAAGATTCGATGCGAACATTAACCACTAGCGATCTGAGTGGTCTCGTTCATCGGCTCAGTTATGCATGACATAGTGATATGGAGCCTAAATGAGGCTTGTCTCGTGAAAAGCCCTCTCAGCTTTAGTCACACAAATGATCGGTATGCTTTAGAAGCCTGATGTTACCGATGAAATGCCCATCCGTAACTTGTCATACGGTGCGCACCAACTGAGGCAGAACATCATCGACGAAGGCAAATACGGCTCAATCGGAGCACGTAGACCTCTCCCTGCTGCTCTGTGTTCTCTGCGAAGACGTTCACAACCCATTACATGCTGAAATACAACTCGGTGACGAGTCTTGATCGGGAAAATATTTCATTAAGCATGTCACTGGCAGTCTGGATTCTGGAATGATTCATGGTAACACATGGTACCTTCAATAAGGACATACAAGCACCAGTGAACACAAGGTACACGGTGTGATTGTCAAAACAAGTATCGGGGTATCTAGTCTATCTATATGCACACACAAAAATCGACAGTTACATGAGGCTCAACCACTAGCACAAAGTCGTTTTAACCAAGAAAAGCACGAATTTGGTTCGACGAAAAGGGGCTGCAAGAGTTTAAATCTCAGGTTAATAACTTCATCAGGGTTGACGAAGTCGCGCGTGTTGATGGTGATGGCCCAGTCGAGGCCCGACTTCTCTGATGCGGCAAAGGATCTCGCTCCCGCGAGCGTGCCCTGACGCTTGCCTACAGTGCGTCCACCAGTATCCCAGACGGCATGTTTGCTGATGAACTTTGCAATAGTGCTGGCGCTAGCGGCGAGCGAGAATGCGGCATCGCACTCTTCTTTGATAGCCCCGTCGCCCCCGAAAACCATGGACACATTTGCGATGGAGTCGGGCTGCGAGCCGTCGAGGCCAGTAAAGCGGGTGTCTTGGATGATGCGATCGACGGCGTGCTTGCTAGCGGCTGTCTCAAAGACACGAACATCCAGACCTTCAAGGATATTCTCCTTTAAGAAGTCAAAATACGGCTGCTGAGTAATGTTGCTCACGACGTAGCCCAGGAGCATTGAGCCGTAGTTTGCATATACATACTTCGAACCAGGTTTGGAATCGAGAGTTTTCGTGAGCTGATATTCGATCATGTCGCGCAGAGTCGCGGGACGCGCATTGTTGTAAAAGTATTGAGAGGCCTTCCGAAACTCGAATCCAGGATCGCCCGACTTTGAACGATCAAATCCTGTCTTATGCGTAAGGAGATGGTCGATTGTTGTAGTGAGAGCTCGCGGATCCTTAGCTTGTTTGTAGCCAAGAAGGTCGTACACGCGTGTGGAAAGCTTAAGCTTTCCAGCCTGAATCAGGTTGTCAATGGCAGCATGGACAAACATCTTGCTCAGACTAGCCAGAAGGAAAACATCGTCCGGTTGGACAGGAGCTCGGTTGCTCTCCGCCCACGTATAGCCGCGCTCAAAGACGATGTGACCCTCTTCGGCGCCCGCGACCTGGGCCTGACGCACACCGTTCTTTTTCATCCATGTTTCCATGATGGTATCGAGTTTCGCAGTCATGGCTGGGTCGCCCTCTTTGCCGGTCACCGTCCACTTGCGGGCCTCAGGGACGTCGGTCTCGGCGAAGATAACAGAAAATCGAGTATCCTGTCCAGTGCCGGCGCCGTCGATGTGAATCGGATACAGACGATTCCGGCCCGCCTGCGACTTGAGTTCGGCGTCCAATTGTTCCGCGGTGAGGTCAGTCTTTGCCTCCCACTCACCAACCCAGTCGCTAGCAAATTGGGGCGTGATTCGTTGATCATCGGCGACGAAGAGACGTTTCGGTCGCCAAAAGGTCTTTGTGAGTTGAGAGTCGTAGATTGCAGCGAACTCCTTGGGCCCAGCGGTGTCGTAGAAGATCGTTTCCATTGCGTTGCCAATGTTCTCGTGCACAAGTAGGCAGTAGCGACGATCATTAGAGGTGCCATATGTGCTGTAGTCCTTAACGACGCCACTGATATTGGTCGCAGAGTGAAAATCTCCTGGTTTCGTGACATCACATTGTTGGCTCCATTTCCCAACATTTGTCCTTTCCATGACGGCAGCGAAGACTGCACCAGCAGCCGGCCCCGTAGCGGAGACATGCGTCGGAGCATAGCCTTTGGATTTCCATGAGTCCATCCAAGTCCGGTAGCCATCTAAATCTGTGCCAGAAATTGTTACTTGGTCGCTGCCCTCCCGCTTTGCCCAAATTGCGGCATACTTGTTGTCAGGAGGAGTTCCGTAAGAGCTGAGAGATATTATGCGGTAGCCAGAGCCCTTGAGCGTTTGAGCCTTGGCCGCATGAGTGGCGCCGTCGAGGTTGAAATAAGTATGGACAGGGGGTGGTGGTGTAGCGGCAGCAGAGGAGACAGAATACAGAGCGCAAAGGCTGAGAAGACCAAGGACTGAGCGAAAACGCATGATGACGTGCAACAGCAGCCCAAAGGCCGGCAATAGTCAAAGATGAGATTACAGTATACGGCTAGCGACACATTTGAGGATCAACCGGGCAGGGAGTGTTTTTATGCTCGCTCAATGTTGGCTCTGGATGAATTATGTGTGGGTGTTGATCATGACAGACAAGGATTCCCAAACCCCTCAATTGTTGTTCGGGGTAGCCGATTGGGGTATCAGCAAGTCATTTTAACAACTACCGCCCAATTAATGTCCAGATTAAGCATGAGTTGATTTTTGTCGGACATGCTGAAGGTGCTGCGGGCAGACTAGCCCTAAGGTTCTCTTTTTAGGGAAGCAGATCAATCCCCAGACCAGCGCTTCAATCCAAGTGGATGCAAACATGGACACCATGGGGAAGGCAAGGGCCGCGACTCATTTATTAAGGTTAACAACCTTCCCAATGATAGATGGCAGAAATCACCTACTGACATGACCCCATCCGAAGTCTAATGGTTTTAGCAACGCTCCCGATAGCGTTGTCGATACTGAAAATGAACTTCAGTCACAACTCGGGGAGACAGGGGCGATTATCCATCGCATAACAGGAGATAGTGACGGCGGACTCGCCATCACCGAAGCTCTTGCTTTGTGGTGCAGTCAGTTGCCACGTCTTGGCATGCTTGAGCTACGAAGCAGCGGGAGTCATGACCTGCCATGATTCCTTTGAGGGGATAAAGCGACAGTTTTCCCGCTGCGCAGATCAATCACACCACCGTCTAAACATAGCGTTCGTGGTCGCCCTCAATGATACGCTGCGCTGGCGAAAGAGTGAGGTGTGTATCCGGGGTAGTTCTGATCGAACCAAGCGGTATCCCACTTTGATCGCCCAATCAGACTGACAGCCTCCATCGCACCCGCGCCAGCGCCGCCAACTATACAGTTGGCTGGGCGCATGCGTTAATTGCAGTTGCTATTCGCAGTAGAATTAATTGCATTGATCAGTTCACCGTATAGTCGTTAATAATGCGCAGTCAGCTCCAAAAGGTTGCCCGCGGTTTACGTGCATCGCGCGGGGAACACTTCCTTACTTGACTTTGACGTGGGATACCGTCCGGCTCGCAGATCTCATCACACATTCTTAGCCCCCTAGACACCCCTCAGAAGGCCTCAGGGAGTCACGAAAGACGCCGCTGGCGTTCATCGGAATGGGGCTATGGTTTTGCAAATGCATGAGGAAGTCCCGGCATCACGCGGAACGCCCCGATTTATCACTTTGGTATCCATGATTAAGATAATTCAATCCCGCCTACGACAGCGGTGGCCAACGTTGGCCCAGCCAACAAGTTGAGCTGTGACAGACAAAAGTTGAAGTCGAAGTTGGAGGCCAGCTAGTCTTGGCCATGGGGGTCGGCTTGAATGCCATTGGATCGTTTCGTGGTTCATCACGTGTTATTGGGCCAACATCTTTGTTGGTTCCTGCAGGTGCATACAGGCCGTTGGTCGTAATTTTACTCTTGCACCAACTGCTGCATCTGGATATCACGATACTCTGTTGGAAGCAAGCCCCCAAAGATCCACCCACTTAAGCTCGTCACCACTGAACAGTGAGCAGTTGGTCGGGTCGGGTGAAAGGTTGCATGAACTTAGCCTCCAATGTTTCCGTGTCGTCGCATTCGAGACATAAAACCTGATATTTCAGCCCCCGAAGTTTTCATCTCCAGCTTCGCCCGCGATAAGACGTTCGTAATCTTCACCCAACTGCGTCTGAATGACACATTTTCCTTCGTATTTGGTTGGGACTTTATATTTCGATGATACATTGTGTTGGAACTTTGCAAATGACGCCAGGTGCTGTGAAACGAGATACTCACGTTCGGAGGTAGAACTGGGACTGATGGTTTGCACCAACGGCCGCCTCCAATGGACTATGGTCCAAAAGATTGAACTAAAACTGCGAATTGATTTTCTATAAAAACAAGTAGCTGGTCAGTCGTATCTCTCTCAATCTTCGAGTCAGCCATCGTCTTGATATCCTGCTTGATCTACTCCTTGCGCGTTGTCCTTCATCATGCGTTTACCGCGGACCCGTTTCGTGATCACTCTGCTGATGATATCCGAAGCATCAGCTCTACTTCCGTACAGCTTGCCTTATCTCAGTGAGTTTCGAGAAGGCCTTTTGAAACAAATCATTGCTAACTCTCGTAGCGCCCGGCAAAGAGCCTCGGACGGCAGAACCACCCCCAGGACGTTCAGTCAGATTTGTCAGGGGTGCTACGGGTCTTCCAAGTGGCACTGGAATATCGACGTCCCAGGCGTCATCCTCCTTCCCGACTCACAATACATCCGCCTCTGCTTCTATCTCCACCAAGCCCACCAGCCTAGCGTCCGCCGGAACTTCGCTTCCTCCGCAAAAATCACTCTCAACGTCCTCATCTGCAACCAGCTTCGCCCACTATTCAAACAGCTCTTCGCCTATCATTGCGTCAAGCTCCGGCACCACCATCGAGAGTACTGCCTCAGTCACTCTTACATCGATCACGGTCACCAGTACTGTCACAGTTGTCAATCTCAACGGATCACCCCTTCCACTTGACCGGCCGGTTGTCACCTACGCCCCGCGAGGAGGATCCCCCATCACCATCTCGTCAGGATCCGTCGTACTGGGATCTACGACTATTGCTGTTCCAACAAAACCAACAACGCTGACCGCTGACGGCACTCCGATCACCTTTGGTAGCCTGAGTACCACCCAGCAAGTTGTCACCTCAGTAAAACAGCCGCCGAAGACCACGAAGCAGGAGAACCAAGAAAGCTCTACCCAGACATCCACGGCTGTACTTACATCCGCCATGCCTCCCTCTGAGACTTCCTACATGGGCGAGGGGAACTCCCCCTTTGACCATACGTGGGTCCCACTTCCGGTCGTCGTGAAGCTGGATGGGATCGAGTTTTATCCCCCAACCGAACACGAAAAACCAGTTGAGATCTTTCTCAAGGACGGAAGCACCGCAACCCTTTCATACAAGTCCCTGAAGATCGCGGGCAAGACGGTCCACATACCTCAGAAAGTTTCATCTACAAGTGTCATTGATGGTGTAGAGTTTTCACAACGCTCTTTCGACTCTCCCGAAGGTAGCCCTGGTGGCGGTGGTGGTACCGCAGCCGGGGGCAGCGCTGGTGCATTTGGTGCTATGAAGGGGATCTTTGAAGGGCTTTCCGGATCTGCAGGTCCATTGGCTGATGCCGTGGCCGGCTTCAGTGGCAAGGCCATGCGCCTGGCTCTCAACGCACCTGGCGGGCCCCTATCCGGCACACAGTTTGGCGAAGTGATTGAGCTGGCAGATCTTACCCAAGATGCCATTAACCTTGCGAAGCAGACATCTCAGTTCCAAAATCAAGTGGAGTCTGCCCGAATGGATCAAGGAAATCAGCCAGATGTCTTTCGATCCATCAATGGAAAGTTCTTTTCGGCTTACGCCCATTCACGCAGGTTTGCAACTTGGTTATCGTCGACTGCCAATATGCTCCAGAACCTTCCCAATATTCCCACGGAGCTGCACGCGACAATCATGGAAAGGTTCGGAGACTTGTCGATTCTTGGGATGGCAGCCTTGAGCTTCGCAGCTGACGCCTACGATGCCTACGCTGTTCTCAGCGCCGTCAACTGGGCCGATGTAGATGACATGTTTGGCGGAAACCCCCAAGAGCCGCCCAACTCGACAACTGTATCTCAACCAACCTCCACGACTATCTTTGCCGATCCCCCAAGCAAGTCTGGTACGCCGAAGAAGAAGGCTTCATGGCCACCAATTCCTCGAGGACCCACTGACATGTTCATGATCACCGCCAAACGCGGTAAGGTCAGCACTTCTGTCTTCAAGAAGTTCACCAAGTACCTTGACAACGACGCTGGAAGTACTCTTGGTGCCGAGGAATGGCTGCCGACTGAGATGGCGTGGCCTGTATACACTACCAACTTGACTGTGCTCAAAGCTGCAGGTATCGCTCAGATTCCCTGGGTGAGAAGTGTCACTCCTGATATTCCTTTCGACGTCCAGGAGTATGAGAAGGTTTCCGCCACAAAGACTCCCGATTTCACGACCCCGATCACGACGTCCGGCAGCACTTCTACCCGGAGCCCACTACACAAGCGGCGCCCTGCGCCTCCTGATGTCAGACCCAACAGCCCGGCGCATCTCAGGATGATTTCAGGAGACTCCAGACAAGACTACCGGTATCATTCTTCACTCGGCCGAGGCGTTACCATCTTCATCATTGACACTGGTTTCAACTTGGGTCACGAGGTATGAAACACATGACATGTTGGCTGAACAAGCTAATCAAAGCTTTAGGAACTCGCTCCTGGCTCAAGAAAAGTCAAGGACTACTACGTCAAAAATGAGAACGCTGTCGATTTGTCCAAGGTTGCACTCGACAAGCTCGCACCGGATAACTCGGAGGACTACTTTCACGATGGCCAGCGCAGGATAGGACACGGTACTTCCGTAGCTTGCGTTGCTGGAGGCACCACCTTAGGCGTGGCATCGAATGCTGATCTGTACCTCATCAAGTGGAAGGCGGCACAGAAACGAAACAACGGCAGCTACGGGCCAATCCAGAGCCGACGGGTGGCACTCATTGATGCTTTCAACCACATTCGAGCTCAGATTCTGCGCGCGAACCCTTCGCTTAAGGGCAAGGCGGTTGTGAATGTCTCTTTCGGTACGTATCCTCGCGATGCAGGTCCTACTGGCCTCATGAGCAGTTACCTAACTTCTATTCAGGTATCAAAAGAGACATCGCCCTTTTCGATGACATCCAGGCCGACTTTGAGGCGTTCATCGAAGACCTGGAGGAACTGGGTGGTGTCTTCGTCATGGCTGCCGGGAACGCTGCTCAATCCCCGTCCCCAGACAGACTAGGGGACCATCTTCCGCAACTTCTTGGGACACAAGCCAACTCACTCATTACTGTGGGAGGAGTCCATGCTGATGGCTCACTGCAAGCGACCTCTGAGCCAGAAGGGAAGATGAAAAGCGACCCGCCGATGCAGGATGGCAGCCCTCACCCCAATGCGAATCGTCGTGGAAGCGTCACAATCTACGCACAAGCCGAAGATGTGACAGGCTGTATCGGTGATCCAGATGATACCAGAAGCACTGTCAAGATGACAGGGAACAGCTTTGCTGCTCCGGCAGTGGTAAGTCAGAATTCTCACGCACCTTTGACGAAATATCCACCAGAGCTGGAGCCATTCATAACACGCACACTTCATATCATAGGCCGGCTTGGCAGCCTACCTCTTGGCACATCCCGATTTCAGTGACGTTTTTGAGTACAAGGAAAAGTCACAACGAGAGCCAGACTATCGCAGTGTTGGGCTCCAGATGAAGCAGGTTATCGAAGCGTTTGCCTCTTTCCAATGGGTACCGCAAGACGCGGTGTTCAATCGCTTCAGAGAGTATGAACGGGAGGAATATGAGCTTCCCAAGCGCGTCCGGATTGCATACAACATGGTTGATGGTCCGAAACGCGACGTGTAAGTTGTCGCTATTCTCGTCTTCGTACGGGCAACATGGGCTTGGACGCTGACTACGGATTCGAACAGAGATGCAGCGACTCAGCCAGCCGATCCCAATCGACAGAGGCTGCGCGAGAGATATCATCGTTTCTTGGACCGCCTGCAGCAATGCAACCCCATGAAGGTCAAGCGAGACGGCACTACAACTGAGATCGATTTCTGTTCTGCCACAGATACCTTCACCCGCGTGTCAACGACAGTGCTTCCCACATCCATGGCATCGACGTCAACTGGCGATGCGACGCTAACGTTCAAGCCTACCACATTGACCGGAAGCACCTCAACGACAGCGACTACTAGCCCAGTTTTGACCTGCAACGAAGACAGTGAGTGTGACGGTCTCACCTGCAAGTCAACGGAAGCCAAGTGCAAGGCAAAGTCGGCGGTAGCCGTGCCTATCCAAATCAAGTACTATACCAGCGGATCCCCCATACGTTTCTACAACAATGACTAACAACGGTGAACAGACAATGCGAATGTGTTGATCCGAAAGAGGAGGACAAGGTTCCCGCCGTTTGCACCGTCGACGAAGACTGTAAGGCCCTGATCTGCGATGGTTCTAAGAAGAAGTCCTGCGTGACGATCATTCCTATGGGTTCATTCGCCATCCGGTAAGACATTCGGAAAAAGTTTTGATCTTGCACGCACTCATGGCACATCGTAGGCAATGCAAGTGCACCGATCCCAAGCCTACTACCACATCGGTGGTCAAACCAACCACGGTTGCGCCCAAGCCGCCCTCGACCACCGTCAAAGCCCCGACTGCAACATCTCCAGGTAAGCATATGTGATCGCTTGTTGCCAAATTGGGATATGTAAAGCTGACATCAAACTTCAGCGCCTATGGAGTGCAACATTGACCAGGCGGTCAACTCGTGTTCTGGCTACAAGAACTGCAAGGAAACCGAGCGTGGAATCTGCAAGGAGCAGAGGACTGCTTCTGGCAAAGAATAGTGAGTTTCTACAGATCCTTCCAAGCGTAACATACTGACGAAAACACCCTCTCTCAGCTACTGCGAGTGCGAGGAGACCCCCCCGACAGCTCCAGACCTCGACCCTGGTTGCTCCCGGCCACAAGGGCCTTGCGAATGAGTTCACCTTGATCAATTACTTAGTAAATGTGTACTTCAAAACAGATATGGCCATGGAGCGCATTGGGCGATCACTGATGGGCCCAGGTCTGAGGTGGGGAGAAGCCCAGAACGTTCCATCGATGCTCTCCATTTAGGATCTTTTCAGATTTGGCAATTTCTTTTGGCTGTTAGGTAGTTGAGGATTTCCTTGCGACATTCATTTCACTTCGAGAGTTACTGTTCAACAATTTTCACGTCCGCGCAAGAAGATTATGCATCATCGTGCCTTGACGCCTCAATATTGACATGCACCCACCGCTAGCTTGCTTCTAACACCAGTTGGGAAGTGATCTTTTCTGCTGCAATATTTTCATGCATTGGGGTAGATAGCGTATGCAGCCAAGGGATTTAAAGACTGGGATGAATTTGAGTCGTGATGCACCGGGGTGTGCACTTTGAACATTTTCGGTCGAGATATCGGTTCAGGACATGGTGCCAAACCCAGATTTGGGTAAGTGAGATACGGTTTAAGCTTGAAATGAAATGCCGAGATCGTCTCCGCTTACCGTGGTCCCAGGAAAGGCAATGTATGGCCACTTCCGACCGGTTCTAGACAATAAGCCCACTGGAGCCGGTCAGAGGTGTACAGCGAGATAGTCGGCTTCGGGACTCGTCCCGTACACACTGAGGACAAACCACCCTACGGTATACCTTTTATTTCTGGGTTTGTCTAAGAAGATGGGATGAAGCCAAAAGCAGTAGGGTCTCGAGAACGTAATGGGCTTGGAACCATCGATCTGGGCGTTGAACGTATGTCTCCCCGCCAGATCTGAACACCACCTGAAGTTGGAAAAGCCGAATCAGACACCTGAGGCTCTGATGATCCATGACATTTGGGAAAGCAACTATAAATGCAGATGCTTCGGTCCGAGCGATAACTCAAAGTCTCTGGAACAGCACGCACAGCACTTCTTCGCAACGGCTTACCTCGGAAAGAACAATAACAAATCCGGCCAAACTAGACTCAGATACAATGCGTGTCCTCAACCTTTCTCTCGTGGTCGTCGCCATGGCCCTCGTTCACTCCGCCGCAGCCAAGCCCAAATTCTCCGGAGGCAACATGGAGGAAAATGGCAACTCGTACAAGAAAGCGATGCTGGACGGGAATGACACCCAGCTGGACATGGAAGTCCCGTTGGACGAGAACAACTGGGTCAACGGGGATGAGTCCGCGGTACCCATTGCAAATGAGCAACAGGGCGAGGCGGTCAAGTTCGAGGCCTAAGTCTCGCGGGATAATGCGTAAGAGAACCTTCCTGACACAACAGAAATGCGCTTCATTGCCCCCTTTGACTGCTACATTGGAAGAAAACAAGAATTCGCTAACGAGAACAACCGGTAGGAATCCGCGCAAGCCCAGGGGATTCCTTTTAGTGATTCAAGGACAAGCGTTTCGCTAGCGGACCAAGCTGGAAGAGGAACCCTTCGTTGTCGGACATCGAAGCTTATTGAGGAATGGTGATTCGCACATGGAATTGCTCAAACTTTGAGGGTATCATTGTGGGGAACTTCTTTGTTGTGTTGTTTTCTTTGGGACGAAGGAGAGAAGGTTACGTAGTGTCGGGAAAGATGGCGTCTGTTTGGAATCTGCCCCCCCTGGAACTCGGAGGCGAATTGTCTATGAACGCAAGGATCGGGATTTGTTTCTTATGCCCCGGCGTAAGAAATGCTTCCATATGCTGCTTGATAGTCAAGTCAAATAGCAAAAACAGACAGTGTTGGACCAGACTCCCATTTGTCCCCTCTTCTCTCTGATCTGTGATCGATATGAAGCCGTGTCTGCGGCGCAAAGGCTTCCACTGAATAGTTGAGATGTAGAAAGTCGAAGACTGCCTGAGTTTCCTGTGTCTACGCGGCTACATTTTCGGTATACTTCATACCCGTACATCTAACGCTTTATTGTGCTCAAGAATGCTTGTATGAATAGCAATTAAGGAGAGACAACAAAAAAGATAATATAACAGTAGCAGAAACGACGGTAGTAGAGACGGCGTCAACGACGACGACGATTGCGAGCACAAAGGAAAGGTAGTCGCCCTAGCCCGATAACAATAGGTGGTCTCAAAAACCGAACTGGCTACCAAGCATTCTTCCCGTTCCAAAACAACACCAGATACACATCCCAGTCGTTTTTGTAGAAAGCTTTCTATCTGAAGCACAAGGATAATTATCTCCTGGCAGCGCTGCATACCAATCAGATTTAATCAAGCAAATCAAGCAATCAGACATGTAAAATGAGGCTATTCAGACAATCCAAGTAATCTGGCGTTCGAGAGGGGCATTTTGATCCGTCTGGCTAAATCCCGGCCGATCTTCATCCGTTTTCTCTTCTGGCCTTCCGTCATGCTTTCATCTGGCAGGTTACCGGCCGTGGACACACCCCGTTTTGTGTCAAGAGTTCCTTTGTGGATTTATGTATGACTAACGGAAACGTAGCCGTCCTATACCTTACAGCGACGTACAAGAACCTCCCATCGTCGAATCTCGTGCCAGGATTCTTGGGTGTGCTTGTCTTGTCGTCCGTATATCCGTTCATCTTTGCTTGAAGCAGAAAAGCTAAAATCCGCTGTATGTGAAGTATGGAAGATGGAGGCATGGCAATAATTGCCAAACGTTTCGATGTGGCGTTGAATGTGGACCCAATGAGCCTGATCGAATACCTTGATTGACGCGAAGATCGACACGAAAGTCGATCAGAGGTGGCATCAATCCCGGAACGTGTCGAGCTTGTGCACCTGTCATTGGACTAGAAGTTCGTAACACGAGAGCCTAATTCAACCACAGCCTGTATATAAGAATATATGAGAACTCTATGCCCGCAAATATCGAAAAGTGAAATGCCTCCGTGCATGCCGTTGAGAGCGCCATCACATCGTCCATAACGCTCAACTCAACGCCTCCCCTGAACTCATCCCTCCAGGTGCCATAACGACATTCGCCATGCCATCAACCATCCATCATCTTGTCCTGTTCGCCATCCTGGATGAAGACATTTAAAACAGCCGTGGACTGCACAGATTCAATTACTTTTCCTACCTTCTCCCTCCACACACACGCAAACAAACATACACTCGTTTCTTTTACTACAACCCCTCAACCCACCTTTAGGCTATCACGATGAAGCCCTCCTTCATCCTCCCCGTCGCAGCCCTCGCCGGGTCGGCCCTCTCCGCCGCCGTGCCCCAATCCCAGGACCTGGTCCCAGTCCTCGTCCCCGAGTTCAGCGACGCCGCCTTCACCCCCGCGGACCGCGAGGATGCCTACGCTGACGCCGAGGACGCCGACAAGGCCTACTCCGCCCCCGGCACCTACCTCGACGGCGAGGACGCCGCCTACCTCGCCTCCGTCGACCTCGACACCGAGGGCGCCGCCGCCTGGGCTAGCGTCCACGCCGACCTCCGCGCCGCCCTCATCGCCCACACCGACGTCACCAACTTCACCGCCGCGGACGCCGACCCCTACCCCGTCACGCTCAAGTGGGCCGGCGCCCACGTCGAGAACATGAACAAGAACGAGACCGCAGAACGCGAAGAAAACAGAAAACTTGGCCGTGGGATTGCAGCGCTAATCCTCTATATCTTTAAGCCCTTCTTTGGGGGCCTGGCGACGGCCCAAGCCAAAAATGGCACCCAGCCCACGGGCGGCCGCCCCAAGATCCCCGACTTCCACGTCGGCCTCGACGCCGACGGCGTCTGCAGGTACTTCCAAGGCGCGGCATGGAAGGCCCAGGAGCTCCGCAGGCCCATGGAGCAGTTCTCGCCCGAGTACGTCCCGTGGCTGGTTGAGAACAAGGGCCCTTACATCGTGAGAACATTTCTCCCCCTGGTGTTGATGTCCAACGGCTAAAAGTCTGATTAGTACGTCCTCGACGGCCTCCGCGAGATCGAGTGGAGCTTCTGGACGCTCGGCCGCGCCCTCGAGTACACCTCCTCCTTCACCGAGGAGGAGCAGTTCAAGATTGCTCGCTGCGCCACCCTCGTAAGCCCACCTCAACACCCCGCTCCGCTCCGTGAAAGCTAACAAAACCCCCCAAGTTCGCCGGCTCCAGCCTCCAACTGACCACCGTCCCTCAACTCCCTCCCCTGGGTCCCGGACCAGTCGTCCCTCCCCGCCCCCTCCCCACCACGTCCACAACCACGACCGTCCGCCCGGCCCCCGTTCCCCAAACCACCTCCCTCTCCCCCTTCCCGACACCCACCATCCTCCCCCGCGACAACGAGGCGAAGCCTATCAGCGAGCCCAGGCACGTGCACCTCTTCGGCTTCCGTTCCCTCCTCCGCCTGCTCGAGGAGAAGGCGCCCGTCTCAAAGTACCAGACGTACGCCAACGTCCGCATCGTCCGCGTTCTCGAAAACCTGGACTCCTCCCTCGAGAGTGTCCGCGCCTCGGTCGACCGCAAGCTCACCAGCACCGCTGCCAAGGTTTACCTGATCCGCAGCGATTACTACGACATGTACGAGCAGTTGGACCACACGGTCTGGGCCTTTGAGCGCAACCTTTGAATGCGACCGCCCACCGATTTCCCTCAGATGAGAGGAGGGGGGCGTATTTGGGAAGCCCAGAGAATGTAAACTTTTGCCCACGTCGTGGATGGTATTTGGTACGCCGGTTGTAAGAGCCGAAAGACGGCTCGCCGTGTTTTGGTTTACTCGGGGTTAAGAATACTGGCGCAGTGGCGCTCGTATCTGTAGTTGCGGTAATAAAACGTCTATTTCTGTATCCTGGTCCTATGAGTTTAATAACGCCCTATCCCAAAATATCGTACCCAATGGTGTGCCTCAATGCGGTATTAATACCGCCTCGCACCGTTCTCGTAAGCTTTAGTCCACAAGGGTGCCGACTTACTACGTAGAGCCGCCGCTGCGGTTTTGCCCAACAAGCCCAGCCATCTCCAACAAGGCGCGATCAGCGGCGATGTCACCCGATCCGAGGTTGATCTTCCTCCGCGCCTCCGCTTCCCGAGCCTCCCACGCCCATCGCTCTGCCTGTGCCTTGGCTTCCTCGTCCCCACCGCATCCCCAGACCTCGAGGCTCTCGATCTCGAATCTGTCCTGGAAGTCAAATTTGCGGGTCACGCTAGTCTGGAACGCGCCGCCGCCTGCCGTCCAGTCATGTGTAAACACGCCGTACTCGAAAGAGTCGTCTAATAAAAGGGATACCGAGCCGAGGGACATCATTGTGTTTCGTCGGTGCGCCTGTGTCGATCTTGGGTGGGGACATCCGACTCCCAGCATGGGCCGGTTGGCTGGCTGCTTCGTGAAGGAGACGTAGTCTGAGTTGTATTTCGACGCTGGGAAGACGTCGTGGATAGGTTCCAATTGAAATAGCACCGTATCCCTCTCGCCGAAGCATTCCTTCGAAGTATGCTTCCAAGGTGTGCTGAGGTACACGCCAAAGGTGAGACGCTCCCCTTTGCTGCCATGAGGAAAGCGGCGCGGGGGTATTGACGCCGCAAACGTTGCTTCCTGGCCACCCTGGGGCTCGTCGTTAATGCGGCTGCCACGGACGAGAAGGATTGTGGGCGCTCTCCAATTGAACACCTTGGTTTCGAAGCTGCCCATGGAGAAGCCCGCGTCATTGCCGGAGTACAGGAGCCTCAGTCGGCGGAAGAGGTCCGAACCCGGGATGAAGAAGGACAGTTGCGAAAGGACGTTCAAATTCATGACATCTGAGCTGTCCTGGAGTAGAGGCTGTACAACCTCTTCGGGATGTTTCTCTGATGCCGGGTCGTCGCCCTTGTGTTTTGAAAAGTCGAGATTCTTGGAGAAGAGAAAGTGCTCAAATAGGGGATTGAAGCCGTTGAAGAGATACGGAAAGCAAACGGGTATCACGCGGTTAAACTGGCTAAACTTGATTCCAGGTGCTTTTTCGACGTTCAAAAACGCGGCAAGGATGTTCTCTGCGGTCGAGCGGAGGCTTTCAAGCTCATCGCCAACGACGCGGGTCGCAAACATTGACAGCCTCTCCTGAGGACTCAGAGGAGCTATGAGAATGAGTAGCATGAGAAGCTTGCGGAAGTTATCGGCTGGTATCATGGCTCCTTGGACCGTTGGGGCATCGCCTTGTCGGACCGCATCGTTGATATCGAGCAGTTCGAACGCAGCGATCTCGAGGTCGTCATCTTCGTCCTCTTCTTCTTCCACAGGCTCGTCAACGGCGAAGCCAGCTACGTGACTCCTGGCCGGTTCGTCCTTGGCCTCAACTTCAGCGTCCTTGACCTCCTCTTTTGATTCGTCAACTCCAGCGGTCGAGGCTTTCCGGTCGTACACGGCAAGACTCTTGAACAGAAGCTTCGCCCGGTCTTGGGCGCCCTTTGCCAAAACCTTTTTGTACCTCGCCGTCATGATGACGACCACCATGATCATTTGTTCGAGGCCGAGGACGGCGGGGGCGTCCTGGAGGAAGGGGAAGGCGCCTATGTAGGACACCATCTGGAATATGACGGGCGAGACATGGAGAATGTCGGGTATCTCGAGGAAGCGGGCGATGGTGTCTTCTTTTAGGTAGTGGATGTCGCTCTGGGTATCTGCTAGGCTCTTGAAGACATCCTTGAAAGAGTAGAGCTCGAGGTTGGTGAAGCACTTCTCGGCGAAGCGGCTGGCCTGTTGGTGGTCATGGTCAGCAGCCGTCTCTACGATGCTTCAAGGTGGGTTGAGGGGCAGAGGGACAGCGACTTACCAGTTCACGGGTGAGCTCCTCGTGCGACAGCTGCCGCGGATTCTCGTCCGACAGTACTTGGCCCATGGTGTGCTCGTAATGGGAAATCAATAAGCATCGGTGAAAGTAATTGCAGTAGTATGGCTTGCCGTGGAGCAGTCATTAACGGCCATGGCCATGTTCTGGGGAAGATGGAGGTAGATGAATGACGGGAGCCTGGGGTGCATGAGCAGCCAACGATTGCATAATGGGAAACCCAGCGCCCAGAGCTCAGCTCAGGTGTCAGATCAGGTCCCCCCTTCCATCCCCCAGGCGCCCAGCGCGTCATGTCTTGGGGGTGACAGTCTGGAGGCCAGGGGGTCAAGCCACTGCGGCGAGTGGGCGAAGTGCCCCGCAACGTCACTGGCCCGAGCTCCCCTGCCCCTCCACATGTGATGATCTCCCGCCCAGAGCATGTTCACGCATAAAATCATCGAGACCTCAGACCACCTGGAACTTTGCAGGGTGACAAGATGTTGCTGTTAGTCATTTATGTAACTCGATGACCAATTCGCAGTTTGTTAGATAACGAGAACCCAAAAATGTCTGTCAAGTGACTCTGCAGCCAAGTTCTCCATGCAAACCTGCACCATGTCACCGGCTTCATCCAAATCAGATGATCTATTCAAACCAAGTGCGCCGCCTATTACTGCCCAGTGCTTTTATGTACGACGGAGGGGAGTCTTCAATGAGACGTCAAGGTCCGTCCTCGATGCCAATGCCATGCCAATACTATACAACGCAGCCGTGAGTCGATGCAACAACAAATCATCTCTTTCCTCATTTCTTGGGCTCATCCGACGATCCGTCCGACGGCTTCCTTCCGTAGAGCTCGCCAATGACACCGAGTGAGCTCTTTGGATTCTCCTTCTTGTCCTTCTGCCCCTGGGCCGCGGCCGGTGCCTCCGGCGCCGCACCCTCGGCAGGCTTGTTCCAGCCCGACAAGCCAATCGCACCCAAAACGCCGCCGCCGCTCGCCTTCTTTTCCGTCTCTTCCGCAGCAGCGCCGCCGGCACTCTTCGCCTCCGCCTTGGCGCGGCGCTGCTGCATCAGGCTCTTGAGGGCCTTCTCCTCCTCGTCACGGGCCTCGAGCTCGCGGATCCAGCGCTGCCTCTTCTCCTCGGCGTCCTTGGCCTCCTTGATCTTGCGCAGCTCGGCGGTGCGCTCGCGGTCCTTGTTGTAGTACATGCTGCCGGCAATCATGGCGAGAACGGTGAAGCCCTGGGCGGCGACACGGGCGCGGAACATCTTGTTGGCTTGGACGGCATCGCCGCGACGGGTTGCGCGCCAGGCGGCGTAGAAGGCGTAGACGGTCAGACCGCAGCCTAGGGTTGTTAGATGACGACTGATGGAAGTAAAGAGAAGTGGACATACCAAGAGGAATGAGGGGCTCTTCCTTCAGCTTGCGGAAGACCTTGTGCATGATGCGCTCATCGTAGAAGTCGCTGTTGGCGGGGTCGACGGTTAGCAAGACTTGGGTCTGAGCTAGGTCCCTGCTCGCGTGCAGCTTACTTGTTCTCGTCAAAGGACGAGGGCATCTGCCTGTCCATGACTGGGAGTCTGTCGTCGCCGGGCATGATTGCGAGAGTGCGATTGGATGTTCAACTCGTTGTGCCGGGGTGGTGGTTGTTGTCTTTTGAGGTCGCAGAGTCGGCAGCGCAGTCATGCGATTTGCAGTGGTCGGCGAACTTCGATGATGAAATGGACTCTCGGGCCCTTTGATTTTCGGGGTCTGGCGGGCAGCTGGCTGGACGCGCCGCCAGAGCTCGACCCTTGAGCACATTTGCGGCAAATCCCGGCACTTAAGGCAGCTTAGGTAACCAAGCAGTTGTGCCTCTAACCTCTTGATTGAGACATCTGCGCTGAAACCTCAGGCAACATGAATAGTAACTGCTGCACGGACCAGCATCCAAAGTTGAGGTCACAGTGGAACTCAATCATCGAAATTCATTGAGTGAGTCTCTAATGGTGGATCTCATGATCCATCTCAATGACCAATTGCTCAGTGTCACTTCAGCCATCAACTCAATTGCATTCTCTTGAACGCACATCACACAAGTTACTAACCATTTCCTTAGTAACGACTCCCAATTCATCCTGAGTCACAATCTAAGAGGTTGGACAAACTCAATTTGGAGATGCAAACCAACCGATGTCGCCCAGAGACCCAGCCAAACGCAGGGGAACGGCAGCCGGCCTGCTGGCACCACAGCAGCAACAGGGGTCCTCCAGCCAATCCCAGCGCCGCCAATAGCGCACCTCACCGCAAAAACCGTCCGATTTCTACCCCGCGACAGCGAATTGAGCTCCGATGTGTGCCCCACTATGAACAAATTTCCAGTTTAATCCAGGCCATCGCTGTCGGTGACTCTTCGCCAGGCCATTCTTTTAGTTGAAGCCTCCCGGCCACGATTGTTGTCGTCGCCGACTCAGTCCCGTCCTCTCGTTCATCCTGCAACAATCCTCCTCACCACCATGTCCGAGTCGACCGAACCCCCCGTCGTCGCCGTCATGACCAACGGCACCCTCAACGGCGTCAATGGCGACCACGCGCCCCGGCCTCGCACCCCGCAGCCCAGCGGCATGTCTCTGACCGAGTACAGCGCCAACCCGTCCACGCCGCCAGAGGAGAAGCGCAACCGCATCAAAACCGTCGTCCCGGAGGACTACCTCCTCCCTGATGGCAACCCAGACGTGAGAAACATCTTTGCGCCCCTCAATGGCTGGCACTGACACGATCCATTCACAGTACCTCCGCCTCATCGCCGCCGCAACCTCCCGCGTCTACGAAGCCTGCAAAGTCACC